CTTATGGATACCAGGTGCGAGAAGGAGGAGAGAGGATTGCTCTTGTGCTCAGGCCATGCCTGCAGGTTTCTCGTTGGTTGGCCACCATGAGAAGAGATGCTGGACTGGATGAGCCCTTGGTCTGATCCAGCAGGCTCCTCTTATGCTCTTATCCACAGGAATACAGGTTTAAACCCTGTGCTCCCACACAGTGGGCAGGTATTAGCATCCATCTTTTGAAAGAGCACACGGAATTGTTTGCTGAGAGAGAGGGAGGGAGAGGGCAACCAGGTCATTTCACAGCAACCCATGAAGGTTGCAACTAAGCGGTCTCCTGAGACCTGAGCAGGATGCATCCCACCACTTCTTTCTGGTCTCTGGGTTCAGGTAGAGTCATCTATCAAGAGCGAACCTTTGAAGGAAGTCAGAGAGAAGAACGGATGTGTCAGGAGGGGGCTGAGTGATTGATTTGCTGGGAAAGGCTCCAGCCTTTGGAGGGATGTATGTTTCTAGGTTATGACAGAGCCCTTTCCTTTTATGAGTAATCATGAAGGATTGGGGAAGGGCTGTTGCAGGCAGGGCTGAGGCTTTGGACCATAGAATTGCAGAGTTGGTGGGGACCTCAGGGGTCCTCTAGTCAGTCCCCTGCAAATGCAGGAATCTGAGCTGAAGGATCGCTGTGATGGTGCTCTGCACATGTCCAGAAGACTGGTCTTACACTTTTAGAAGTAATATATTCATTGTGACAACATACATACATACATACATACATACATACATAAAAGGTAAAGGTACCCCTGCCCATACGGGCCAGTCTTGACAGACTCTAGGGTTGTGCGCTCATCTCACTCTATAGGCCGGGAGCCAGCGCTGTCCGGAGACACTTCCGGGTCACATGGCCAGCGTGACAAGCTGCATCTGGCGAGCCAGCGCAGCACACGGAACGCCGTTTACCTTCCCGCTGATAAGCGGTCCCTATTTATCTACTTGCACCCGAGGGTTCTTTCGAACTGCTAGGTTGGCAGGCGCTGGGACCGAGCGACGGGAGCGCACCCCGCCGCGGGGATTCGAACCGCCGTTTTGATCGGCAAGTCCTAGTCGCTGAGGCTTTAACCCACAGCGCCACCCGCGTCCCACATACATACATACATACATACATAAATATTTATACCCGCCCTTCCTGGTTCAGAAAACCGGGCTCAGGGCGGCTAACAACAAATTTAAAACACTTAATTGATGCAACAAAAAACAGCATAAAAACACGAATAACAATAAATTTAGAATTCAAAAATCAATTGAGGTTGGTAATCCATCCAATAAACATTAGATAATCACCAGGGCTAGCTGGCTAAATTAGTCCTACTTGGGCCAGCGAGGAGACCAGGGGAGAATTAGCTGTGGGATCCCAGAGTGGGGAATCTTCATAAAAAGGGGAGGGAAGGAAGGAGAATAAAAGATCAGGCTAAGTTCAAATTGAAAGCCAGGCGGAATAGCTCTGTCTTACAGGCCTGGCGGAAGGAGGTTAAATCCTGAAGGGCCCTAGTCTCAAGGGACAGAGCATTCCACCAGGTTGGAGCCATCACTGAGAAGACCCTGGCCCTGGTGGAGGATAATCTGGCTTCCTTAGGGCCCGGGACCTCTAAACTATGGTTATTCATGGACCTTAAGGTCACTTTGACTATATAAAACATGCAATTGTAGATTTGGAATGTAACCCCAAAGGTCATTTCGTTCAACCCCTGCAATGCAGGAATCATAGCTAAAGAACCACTGGCAGGTGGCCATCCGAGCTCTGCTTAAGCACCTCCCGTCAGCCCACCACCTTGCTGCACAAGGCCACAATCCTGCACCCGCTTCCTCCTGAGTACACATGGGTAGGACTGTGCTGCGATGCTTTCCTGACCACTGGCTGGCAACCTCCGCTCCTCCATGAGCTGAACTCGTGGGGAGGGGGGGTGCTCTGCTTTTTCAATTCTGGAAGATTCTGGGTCACTCATTAAGCCCTAGGAAATTGTTGGTGCCAGCGCCAGGGGAAGTGGGGGGCAGCGCTTCTGTGGCTGCGAGGAAGGAGCAGGTCAGGTTGCAGCTTGGAGACTTAAAGAGCTGGTAGCAAAATTAGAGGGCATAAACCATTCATCCAATCAGCCCGTCAGTTGGCTGGAGCATTGGGCTAGGCTCTCACTTGAACCGCTCAGTGTATGCAGCTTCCAGTTTTATTCGCAAGCAAACGGCATAGTTAGCAAGCTATAGCAAGTAAATGCCCTAGAGCAGCGGTTCTCAACCTGTGGGTCCCCAGATGTTGTTGGACTACAACTCCCATCATCCCTGAGCCTCTGGCCTTGCTAGCTAGGGGTGATGGGAGTTATAGTTCAACAACATCTGAGGACCCACAGGTTGAGAAAGGCTGGTCTAGAGCATGGGTAGGGCAAACTAAGGCCTGGGGGCTGCATCCGGCCCAATCACCCTCTAAATCTGGCCTCCGGACAGTCCGGCAACCAGCGTGTTTTTACATGAGTAAGAATGTGTGCTTTTATTTAAAATTCATCTCTGGGTTACTTATGGGGCATAGGAATTCACTCATTATCCCCCCCCCCAAAAAAAATATAGTCGGCCCCCACACACAAAGTCTGAGGGACAGTGGACCGGCCCCCTGCTGAAAAGTTTGCTGACCCCTGCCATAGAGCTAGGAAATAGGACCCTTCCATGAAGCCCAGATAAAGCCCCCCTCCCTTCACTTTGGAGGATTATTTATTTATTTATTTCATCATTGTTACCGTTTATTAAATTTATATAACACTAGACTTTGTGGACATCCGATGAAGCGGAGTGTTGTAAGATTCAGGACAGATAAAAGGAATAACGTCTTCACTCAGCATTAAAATACAGCAATGCATCAAACATTAAAAGCTTCCCTGAACAGGGCTGCCTTCAGATGTCTTCTAAATATCAGGTAGTTCTTCTTCTCTTTGACATCTGGTGGGAGGGTGTTCCACAGGGCGGGTGCCACTACAGAGAAGGCCCTCTGCCTGGTTTCCTGTAACTTGGCTTCTCGCAGGGAGGGAACCGCCAGAAGGCCCTCGGAGCTGGACCTCAGTGTCCGGGCAGAACGATGGGGGTGGAGACGCTCCTTTAGGTATACAGGACCAAGGCCGTTTAGGGCTCTAAAGGTCAGCACCAACACTTTGAATTGTGCTCGGAAACGTACTGGAGGTTTTGACACGAAGGTTGGGTGGCCTCCTGTAGTGATTCCTTATCTGTGACTCCTGCATCGCAGGGGTCAGACAGGACGACTCTTTGGTGGTCCTAAGTTTACATCTGGATGATCTGGTTGGCCATTGTGAGAACAGGATCCTGGGCGAGGTGCGCCACGGGCATGATTCAGCAACCAGGCTCTTCTTACATCTCTCTGCTTTTGGGGAGATCTCTTTGGACCACCAATCTGACACCACCTCACCACTTGTCCCAGGCCCTGAACTGCGGGGTCCATGGCACCGCTCCTCCACGTTCCTCACAGTGCGCAGCGGGTGCTCATTTGCTTGCTCACAGGCGCACGGATGTTGACATTTTCGGCAGCTGTGGCTCCCTTCCCCAGCTACAGAGCAGCCAATCAGCAGCCGCGGGAGCCAGATCAAGCTCAAAGCTCACAGTGTGTGTTTGTGTGCCTCTGCTGCTTTGGCGATGCTGAGCGGGGGCCAGAGGAGGGGAAAGGAGGTGGGATGGGCGAGGAGGGGGGAACCAGGTGGTTGGGAGCAATGGGAGAGACGCCCCCCACCCCCGTTCAGTTTTCCCTTTTCTCAAGCTTTTTCAGCACAGAATAGGAGGTGCCCAGCTCTCGCCTGACTTCTCCCGCAGCAGATGTTCCATGCCAGGCCACAGCTGCGAGGCGGTGATGGGGCAGCGATGGAAGTCCTTTTTGGTGAGGCTTGGGGAGGGGAGGGGGGACAGGACTGATCTCTGTTCCGGAGAAAGCAGCATCCTCAAAAGCTTAACCCCTTTGCGCCTCTCCTGCAACGGCCTTTTGGAGTGTTGGTAGCTGCCTGCACGGACACTAACAGCAGATGTTCCCTGGGGTTTTTCAGGCAGGGGATTTTAGAAATTGGGTCCTGGGACCTTCTGTGGGCAAAGCATGGGCTCTGCCACTGAGCTGTAGCCTTCCAGGGAATTTCAGGTAGGTTGGTCTTTGCCAGCCCTTCCCCAGACTTGCTGAGAATGGAATGGGGGGGGGACCCTCCACACACAAAGCGTCAGCTCCCGGTGTCTGAGCTGCCGCCCCATTTCCTTTCCCATAACTGTCAGCCTTTAAACTGTAGGCTCCCTGGGGCCAGGGAGCTATCTCCTTTCCCTTCTGCATGTATAATAGAGAGGCGTCGCAATCCAGAATGAGGTAGTGGTTAGCATTTCTGAGTAGGACATGGGAGACCAGGGTTCAAATCTCTGTTGGGCCATGAAGTTCTCTGGGTGTGACCTTGAGCTGGCTTCTCAGCCCAGCCTACCTCGCAGGGTGGTTGTGAGAATTAAACTGGGGAGGGGGGAGGACCATGTAGCTGCCTTGAGCTCCTTGGAGGGGGAAAGGTGGGATATAAATGCAATTAATAATAATGATAACATTTAATGATTGCTCAGTACCCAGTTTAAATAATAGAGTTGCATCATCTGATGAAGAAGCGTTGCCCGGTTTCACCCTAGGAGAGCCATACTTTAGCCCAACCTAAGAACTTGGGACTTCTATAGACGCAGAACCTTCTTCTGCCTCTCCCTCCACACAACACAACATCCCAAGCCTCCATGCTTTTTTCATTCACAGTTTCCATTGTGTCCCCACATCAGTTTCTGGATTGTAAATCCCTTTCAGCAGAGACCTGTTCTATACTTTGCAAGTGCCAAGGACATTGATGTGTGATGGGAACCCTTATTATTAAAAAAAGGCAATGGATTGATTTAATTAGCTGGTGCAGTTTGTATCTGGGCACAGCCAATTGTCTGGAAGCAAAAAACGCTATGCTCCCTTCTTCTCTTTTGATGCATGTGGTCTTATTGAAAGGGTTTCCCATCTGGAAGAGAGATCCAGTGTGGTGTGGTTAGAGCATTGGATTAGGACCTGGGAGACAAGGGTTCAAATCTCCACTCAGCCGTGAAGCTGACTGTAGGGCCTCGGGGGCCAGTCGCTGCCTCTCAGCCTAAGCTACCTCACAGGGTTGCCGTGGGGATTAAATGAGAGGAAGTACCTAACATATAGGGACGCGGGTGGTGCTGTGGGTTAAACCACAGAGCCTAGGACTTGCTGATCAGAAGGTCAGTGGTTCGAATCCCTGCGACGGGGTGAGCTCCCGTTGCTCGGTCCCTGCTCCTGCCAACCTAGCAGTTCAAAAGAACGTCAAAGTGCAAGTAGATAAATAGATACCGCTCCGGCGGGAAGGTAAACGGCGTTTCCGTGCGCTGCTTTGGTTCGCCAGAAGCGGCTTAGTCATGCTGGCCACATGACCTGGAAGCAATGGTCAGGGGTCCCTTTACCTTTACCTTTACCTAACATATGCCAGCTTCAGAAAAAAGGTGGGGTGGAAATGGAATGCAATAGAATTAGAATTAGAATAGAATAGAATAGAATAGAATAGACATTTGGGGAATAAGAAAATAGGAACGCAGATGTGATGATGGTACTTGGCGTATTAATTTTGTGTGTATGGGACCTTCTGCATGCAAAACAGGTGTTCCACCACTGAGTTATGGCTTTTCCATAAAGTTCTGTTCTTGCCAGGTGTTCCCTTCCTCCTTATGGGGTGCCTTCAACTTCCTGCATCATCCCCGGAGCCCTAATTTCAAGTTTACAACCCATTCCAATGATCCAAGGGAGGGATGAGGGGGGAGACAGATGGTTGTGAAAATCTACACTGGCTTTTGTCACTATCTGCAGGGAGGTTTTCATTTATCCTGCGTCTTTGCTCTTTTCCAAGACACCCCGAGTATTTGTTTTCTTTTAAGCTGCTCTGGGACCTCAACAATGCCCATTCTGTCCTTGCTGCATTGTTGTGGCTGACTTAAAATTATTCCCATCATTGTCCAAAGAAATGAGGGGCGGGAAATGTTCTGGAGCCGGCTTCCTTTCCTTGTCTGTGGGCGGGAAAGGATCACACAACAATCTTCAGCGGATTTTCATTCAAACCCAGGAATGTAAAATTATTATCATTATTAATTACCCGCACTTTATCTTAAGGTCACGGGGCAGGTTGTAGCACTAAAACACAGCATTAGAAACTGTTTAAAACAGCCTACAATCACAAAAAATAAGGTGTGTTCTAAAAAATATGCACTCCTCATGTGTCAAAAGGCATTTGCCGGAAGCCGAATAATCAAGGTGCCTGGCACACCTCTTTCTGGAGGGAGTTTCTACCAGCTGTTGCCAGTCCTCTCAAATCTGCCTTTCCTTTCCCTGAATTCCCTGCTTGATCTCGCAAGATCCCATTCAGTCAGCCTTGACCATGAGCCCAAGAAGGTTAGTAGCCTGCAAACATGTTTGCTAGCCCAGTGGAGCACACACACCTTCCTGCTGCCAGAGAGGACATAGTGCTCTTCCCTTCTCTGTGTGCTCACTCACCTGCACATATGCAATTCTGGGTTACCTGTGGCTACCTGGCTAATGCTTAAATGCAAGGGTGCACCGCGAGCCACCCTAGCTTGTGACCTACCAAGCCCCACACAGCCCCACCAACTGTGTTTGGCAGCCCCTCCTGCTTCGGCTTCCAAAGAGAGAAGGTGCTCTCTCAAGCCCTTAATACAGTCATGCCTCGGGTTACAGCCACTTCAGCTTGTGTTTTTTCAGGTTACGCACCCGCCAAAACCCAAAAGTACCGGAACAGGTTACTTCCGGGTTTTGGTGGTCTTGCATGCGCAGAAGCGCTAAATTGCACTTTGTGCATGCACAGTCAAATTGCAACCCGTGTGTGCGCAGACGCGCTGCTGTGGGTTGCGAATCCCGCACAGATCACATCCGTAGCCCAAGCGTCCACTGTATAGCCAACATGTTTCATTAGATACAGTGGTGTCCAAACTTTTTTTCAAAGAGGGCCAGATTTGGTGAAGTGAAGGGCCGTGAGGGCCAACGAAAGAGCCAACCAAAGTTGTTGAGTTAGCAGGCTTCTATTTAATGTGTTAGCAGGCTTCTATTTAAAATCTCTATTCTATTTAAAATCTCTGATCCTCAGAGTCTTGGTTTACAATGGTGCTGATGGCTTATTGCTCTTCCTTATTGGTTTTTAACCCAATCCTATTGTTTTACCTTGTTTTTTTACGCTTGTGAGCTACTTTGGGGACCTGTATGGATGGGAAGGGCTGTAGATCAGGGAAGGTCGCCGGTTTGAGCCCCGCTAACCTCTCCAGGTGGGGCCAGATATCCAGGAGAGCCTGGTGGACAATATTGAGCTACTGCCCGTCAGAGTAAAGCAGGCTTCCTCAACCTCGGCCCTCCAGATGTTTTTGGCCTACAACTCCCATCATCCCTAGTTAGCAGGACCAGTGGTCAGGGATGCTGGGAACTGTAGTCTCAAAACATCTGGAGGACCGAGATTGAGGAAGCCTGGGGTAAACAATACTGAGCAGGATGGGGCCAATGGTCTGACCAGGTACAATGTACGTGTTTTTGTGTCTTGGTATTGTAAACTGACCCTCGGATGATGGGCGGCATAGAAATTTGATAAATAAATAGTGAGACAGGTTGTTACATTCCTAAATACAATCCAGGTGTGCTGTTGGTCCAATCTGACACTTCTTTTTTCAAGGGCTATCGTGAAAAGCGGTGCTTGGTCCTTTCCGTGGTGCTGGAAGGGTGTGGCTCTGATCCTCACTGTTCTTGCCTTCCTCTCCCTCCAGATCCCATCTAATGCCCAGGCTGAAGGAATCTCGCTCCCACGAGTCACTGCTCAGTCCAAGTAGCGCTGTGGAGGCCCTGGATCTCAGCATGGAGGAAGAAGTGGTCATTAAGCCTGTTCATAGCAGCATCCTGGGGCAGGATTTCTGCTTCGAGGTAAGGCGCACCCGTTGACACCCAGGAAGGCTGCTGGCTGGATGTCCTGCTTTCGGAGTGGGTGGGGTGTGCACTCCTGAGAGTTTGACCCCTGTGGGAAACGGGAGGTTGGACTTGGCAGACTTTTGGCCTGACCCAACAGGGTTGCTTTTATGTTCATTTTGAGCCATGACAATCACTTATGTATTGGCTTGTTTTATCGCCGGGGGGGGTGTTGTACCCCGCTTTCCATCCAAAAAGCCTGCCAGGGCGGCTTGCATAAAATCAGAATGAGGCAGTCCCTGCCCTCGCAGACTTGCACATTTCCCTTTTAAAAAAAGAAGAAGACTGTAGCACACAAGGGGTAAGCTGCAGGGAGGGAAAAGGAAAAAGAAAAACCCAGGCACAGATTCCTATCATAACCACCTGGCACAGTTCAGGGGCTGGTGTAGCTGGGGTTTCGGCAAAGCTGGTGGAGTGAGCTCTTCTGCTTCCCACCTGCCCCTGTAAGGCAGTTTCATAGAATGGCTGCCCCCCAGATGACAGGTGAGGTGGGAGCAGGCCGATGGGGCTGACCTGTCACACCAGTTGGGAGTGGAGCCTCCATAGTCAGAGGCAGTCTGCCTCAGAACCTAAGGGTGGGGCTGCTGCTGCTTTCACAGAACCATAGAATTGTAGAGTTGGAAGAGATCCTGAAGGTTGGTCCACCCCTCTGCAATACAGGAATACTTTGTCCATTGTGGGGTTCGAACCCATGGCCCTGAGATTAAGTATCTCATGCTCTATTGAGTGAGCTATCCCAGCTGCCCTGCTTGGCAGCTTCCCAGAGCCATCTGCCTGGTCACTCCTGCAAGCATAATGGTGCTTGCTTGAGAGTAGGGCAGTGCCTCAGTGGCGGAGCAACTGCTTGGTGTGCAGAAGGTCTGAGGTTCAGTTCCCTGTGGCACCTCCAGGTAAGCCTGGAAGAGACTCTCAGCCTGAAACCCTGGAGAGCTGCTGCCAGTCAGTGCAGACAATACTGAACTAGATGGACCAAACCTATGACTCTGTATAAAGCAACTTCTTTTGTTGCTATGATTTGGTTGGCTCCAACAGGGTTCTTTCGTTCTGTTCATACAGCAACCATCTGTAATTATATCCACGTTAAGAATTTTAAAAAATATTTCTAAATGTGTTTTTACTGGAAATGTGTGCGCTTCTTTTTCTTATCCATTGTGGTACATTTTTTTCTGAGTTGGAGAGTACAGTGCAAAATTCAGATAGGTGTGAAATCCAAAGAAAATTTTTATTCCGAACTGTATATTAATCCAGGAGATGCAAATGGGTTCAGTGGGGTCAGGCCAAATGAAATTTCTCTTCTGTCCCTTAGGTTATATCCAGTGCTGGTCCTACTCAGAGTAGACCAGCTGGGTCCTTAGTGGCAGAGTGTCCCACAGGACTGGGTCGATGAGACTAAAGTCTCGGTTTCTTGTTGTCAAACAAGCCTCACCAACTGGACCAGCGATGCTCCTGCTGATGATCTGAGTGATCAAGCTGGGATATAAGGGTCTTAGGTCCCCTGGACCCAAGTTGTCCAGGGCTTTGTAAATTAATACAAGGGCCTTGATCCTGACCGAGTAGCAGATGGGCAGCCAGTGCAGATGCCTCAACAAGGGTGCCACACATTGTCGGCCAGGTGACCCCACCAGAAATCTGGCCACCGCACTCTGCAGTCACTGGAGCTTTCAGAACCAGACCCAAGGGCAGCACCGCATGGATGCTGAGACTGCACCCTTGCATACAAGATGGGCTGGTGCTTCGCTTGAAGTTGTGGCTGATCAAGGAGGAAAAAGGGGCACACATAGGTGGGAGAATGTGAAGCATCTATTAACTGCATTTCCTAAACAGGTCACAAAGCTCCAGATAACTGGACAGGTGGCCACATGCCTTCCTGTGTGTGTAGGACTGTGGATCGGGTCTGCAACTTGCTACCAGGGCCTGTCCTTTTTTATTTTTGCACTTTCTGTGCAAAAATTCAATTTTTAGTATCTTAGGAAGGAATGGAGCAGGTGGGATTTGTTTCTAAAGTTTCTTGGCTCCATGGGAGGACCTAGCCTGGAGAGCCAAATGTAATGTCAATTAGTTAGTTAGTTAGTGAATGTTGTGGGAGGCAGGATAGGATATATTGTTTCATGGTATCCTTCCTAACTTGCGTTAGCAAGTTCTGTGTCTTAGCAGAGTTTCAACATTCCCCTTTAAATGCACAGCGGTTTGCTTGTTGCAGGTTCGTCTGAACCTCTCTATATAAGATTTCTGGTAAGATCCCTTCTTGTCCCTCTTTTAAAAAATATACACAACAATTTTATTGTTGTGTATATTTTATAAAAGTCGTTTACTCACATTCATTCAGTTCACAGTTAGATCCCTGAAGGCAGTCTTAGGTTACAAAAGTATATATACACATGGAACTATCCCATAAGGGAGTTAGTCCCAAGTGACTGCGAACAAGCAGTGTGCATGCAACATTGAGAGGGCGCAGGCAGTCTGACTGTTTGGCACAAAGTGCGTGTTTGGGGCTGCATGGGGGGAGCTTTGTGGTGATGGGAGGGTGCAGTGAGCAGAACTCTTTTCCGAGGTAAGGTCCAGTTGCAGAGCTTTGTCGCACTGCACCTTCCGCTGTCCTCCAAACTTTGCAAAACGCATCCATGCAGATGCCTCCGTTTGCATAATTTATCTGGGTTGCAGGATTTCTGCCTGCTCTTTCCACCCACAAGCTTGCCCTGACTTATGAGGACACACAGCAGCCACTAGCCTTCCCTCCCATCGCTCCCGGCCTCCTGCTGCCCCCTGCCACCTCCAGAGGTGAGCACATTGCTCCACAGGAAGACAGGAAATCAAACATTGATCTCTCTGTCTCAGTGTTGCTTACACTGGCTGGAAGCAATAGCTCTCCAGCATTTCAGAACAGAGTACACAGCCCTAACTGGAGATGCAGGGACGTGGGTGGCGCTGTGAGTTACACCACAGAGCCTAGGACTTGCCGATCAGAAGGTCGGCGGTTCGAATCCCCACAACGGGGTGAGCTCCCGTTGCTCAGTCCCTGCTCCTGCCAACCTAGCAGTCGGAAAGCACATCAAAGTGCAAGTAGATAAATAGGTACCGCTCTGGCGGGAAGGTAAACAGCGTTTCTGTGCGCTGCTCTGGTTCGCCAGAAGCGGCTTAGTCATGCTGGCCACATGACCCGGAAGCTGTACACCGGCTCCCTCGGCCAAGAAAGCGAGATGAGAGCCGCAACCCCAGAGTTGGCCACGACTGGACCTAATGGTCAGGGGTCCCTTTACCTTTACCTACCTGGAGATGCCAGTGGGGAATTGTACCTTGGGGCCTTTCTGCATTAAAAGCATCTTCTGTATACCATTCAGCTATGGTTGTCACCCACAAAATGGACCAAGATTTGAGTCCTCGTGCTTCCAAGTAACATGCTGATGTAGCAGCACCCAATGAAGTTGCCTTCCACCAGTACTATTTTTCTAGAAAAAGAGGTGTTGGAATTCACCATTAGTGCCTCCCTTGTTTTCTTACAATGGCAATGGTGCTCACCTGAGAGGTGCCGGAACTGAGTTCCATTGAGTTACGGCTGAAAAAGCCCTGCCTTCCACCAAGACAAGCCCTTGGCCTATCTGGGTCTCCCGGGTCGCAGGCAGGGGTCCTTTCCAGACCTGGGGATTTCACTGGCTTCCTTCTGCATGCCAAGCAGGTGCTTTCACTGCTGAGCCACAGCTCTCCCCCACCCTGGTATCACAAGCATAATGTCACCACTGCCCTTAGCGCCTCCCTGCCTCTTGCTTCTCCATGCCACCCTCACGACTGTCCTTGAGAGAGGCTGGGCTCTGCATTTCAATAAGGCGCTTGGCTTGCAGCAGAAACACCTTCCAGACCTCTCTACCTTGCTTTCGTTTCAGGCGGCAAGCAAAAATTGCAGAGTGCAATTTTGCCTTCTCTAGGAAGAGCCACCCACCCATGGAACAAGGATAATGAGGCAAAATGAGTTAGATTTGAGAAACTAATGATTTCCTCCCTCTTCACTGCACTAATTGAATTTTGGCCTGGCAAACTAATACCTGTATTTTTAAAAACTTTATTAATAAATAAAACACACATAACAGCCTGGGCTTCATTACAGCATACATTTTATTGGGGCTTCCCCGCCCATTGCATAATGTGCCTAATCTATGTGGTGCCTGGGCATGTGAAAGAGCTTTCTCCCCTCTCCCGTGGTGCTGTTTCAGATTTTCCATTGTACACCCAAGAGTCACAGAATTGCAGAGTTGGAAGGGAACCCGAGGGTCATCTAGCCCAACCCCTGCAGGGATCAATTTATATTTCTGTTTCTCCCCCCACTGTTTCTTTCCCCCTGGCTTAAGTGCCACATTCCCACATCAAGTTGTGATCTTAAAGGTGCATTTTGGGGCAAGACACTATTTTCATCTCTGTATGTATTTTGTGCGTGCAGCTTCCCCTCATCTACACTTCATCTTTTGTATACTGTTGGTTGGTTAGAGCATTTCTTGTGATGATAGGATGGTTTTGCCTTCTTCAAAAATATCTTACAGATTCGATGTCGGGCAAGATACAATCCACATATTTCCTTATAAACCAAATTCCAAAGTTTTTTGACTAAAACACAATCCCAATATAAGTTAAAGTGTGAATATCGTTGATCAAAACCACACAAACAAAAGTGGTGACATTGTTGAAAACATAATGGATCAATGGATCGTAGGATTGTAGAATTGGAAGGGGTCCCAGGGGTCATCTAGTCCAACCCCCTGCAATGCAGGAAACACAACTAAACCACCCATGACAGGTGGCCTTCCGCCCACTGCTTTAAAACCTCCAATGAAGGCAAGTCCACAACTTCCCAAGAGAGCCCATTCCCTGTCGTACAACCCTTACTGTCAGAAAACTCTTCTTGATGTTTCGTCGGAATCTCCTTTCTTTTAACTTGAAGCCATGGGTTTGAGTCCTACCCTCCAGAGCAGGAGAAAACAAGCTGGCTCCATGTGATAGCCCTTGAGATATTTAAAGATGGTGCAGAGGTTAGAGCAGTGTGGGGGCCATGTTTTTCAGGCCCGAGGGCCACATTAATTTCTGGGCAGCCTTCCTGGGGCCACCTGCCAGGGGTAGGTGGGGCCAGAGGCAAAAGGGGGTGGGGCGATAGATGCCGTTTCCCCGCTAGTCACCCCTCTCTGTCCTTCATCCAGAGAAGCTTTAATGGACACAATCCAGCCAGGCATGAAACGTTCAAAGGGGCCCGCGAGGAGACCCAAACTCCAGGTAGACAGATCAGGAAGGCTGCATTTGGGGCTCTAGGGCCTGAGGTTTCCCACACCTGGGTTGGAGTGTCCAACTAGGACTGGCGAGTTCCAGGTCCACAACCTTCAGTTATGAAATCACTGCGAGACCCTCAGACATTAATTCACCCAGCCTTAATCTACCTCACAGCTCTTTTGTTCATTCATTCATTCACTGACCTCCCATTGGCCATGTGGGTTTGGGGGTCTTGTTCTCAGGTTCCCACCAGCGCTCCTTTTGTGCCAGCCTCATGATTAGCTACGTCGTGGCCCCAGACCCTGACTCCTCCTTCGTTAACCATCTGATCAGCTGTCTGCTTCCTTTCCCCAAGCTGGGACATGCAGTGGTTTGATATTTGATTTGATTTATTGAATTCCTGTGCCGCTATTCATTCTAAGGAATCCCAAAGTGGCTCACAAACAATAGCTAACAGTAGCATGGCAGAGCATAACAGAACATCACAAACGCAGCATAAATCACATGGAATAATTAACAAATCATCAGTGAAGCAATTACAAGCCATAAAACACTGTTAACAAAGCAACAACTGAAGAAATAAACTAAGCGTCAGAATGAAAGCAAAAGTCGTGTTGTGTGGTTGACAAATCAATACAGCATTAATAATCTATAAAACGATATTAACAACATTAACAGAATAGCAGGGCAAAATGTAAGATAAGCACTGGTAAAGTTATACACACTCCGTTCAGCTCATTAAAATACACATCCAGGGCAGCAACTCCCTTCTGATGCATCTGACCAAAAGTCCATCTAGCTCTCTTATCACAAGTATGTTGTTTAGTCATTTAGTCGTGTCTGACTCTTCGTGACCCCCCTGGACCAGAGCATGCCAGGCACGTCTGTCTTCCACTACCTCCCGCAGTTTGGTCAAACTCATGCTGGGAGCTTCGAGAACACTGTCCCACCATCTCGTCCTCTGTCGTCCCCTTCTCCTTGTGCCCTCCATCTTTCCCAACATCAGGGTCTTTTCCAGGGAGTCTTCTCTTCTCATGAGGTGGCCAAAGAATTGGAGCCTCAGCTTCAGGATCTGTCCTTCCAGTGAGCACTCAGGGCTGACTTCCTTCAGAATGGATAGGTTTGATCTTCTTGCAGTCCATGGGACTCTCAAGAGTCTCCTCCAGCACCAGAATTCAAAAGCATCCATTCTTCGGCGATCAGCCTTCGGCAATCAGCCTCACAAGTATGTTGTTGTTGTTGTTTAGTCGTTTAGTCGTGTCCGACTCTTCGTGACCCCATGGACCAGAGCACGCCAGGCACTCCTGTCTTCCACTGCCTCCTGCAGTTTGGTCAAACTCATGCTGGTAGCTTCAAGAACACTATCCAACCATCTCATCCTCTGTCGTCCCCTTCTCCTTGTGCCCTCCATCTTTCCCAGCATCAGTGTCTCCTCCAGGGAGTCTTCTCTTCTCATGAGGTGGCCAAAGTATTGGAGCCTCAACTTCACGATCTGTCCTTCCAGTGAGCACTCAGGTCTGATTTCCTTAAGAATGGATGCGTTTGATCTTCTTGCAGTCCATGGGACTCTCAAGAGTCTCCTCCAGCACCATAATTCAAAAGCATCAATTCTTCGGCGATCAGCCTTCTTTATGGTCCAGCTCTCACTTCCATACATCACTACTGGGAAAACCATGGCTTTAACTATACGGACCTTTGTTGGTAAGGTGATGTCTCTACTTTTTAAGATGTTGTCTCACAAGTATACTGGGGAGTTAATCATTCCCTGTGAGAGCAGAGCCTCTCCATCCAGAGACATTCTACCCCTGATGCTGCAGGCAAACAACAAGAGAGAGGTGTCCCCTTTATTCCTTCCTTCTGAGCTTCCTAGAAGCACCTGGCTGGCCGTTGCTGGACTCTATGGACATTGTGCTTTGATACATTAGGGCAGTTCTGAGCTGTGATGGTATAATTAGCAGGGCCATCTAATCCCATCCACTTCTCAATATAGGACCATGTAGGTTAAGTAAACTATGGTTAAGTAAACGGTGTGAGTATCTGGAGTTAGCAAAATTGACGGATATAATAAGGCATAAATCTAAAACTATGGTGCAGAAACAATGGGAATGCTTAAAAGAATATTTACACAAAACAGGGATGAAACACGAAATTTTGGTTGTGCTTAGACTAACCTTGTGAAGAATACAGTACAGAGAATACAAAGATTAGATGGACTATGAAAGAATTTAAGGAAAGGGACTGAAGAACAGATATAAAAGTTAACTAGATAACCAAGAGATGTGTGGTGAAGTCTTTTATAATATTTAACTAGGATTTAAATATTGTAATGTTTGAAGTATGAATCTGGAATAATTGACGATGAAAAGTATTTTTTCTTTTCATTTTTTTCTTGTTTGTTTCTTTTATCTTTTGCCTTTCTTCTTTTCTAGTTTGCATTCTGGAAAATTGTGTAGATAAAACGTTTTTATGTATGGTTATGTATTGTTTCTATTTCTTTTTTTTGGTAACATTTAATAAAAAATTAAAAAAATTAAAAAAAGGACAATGTAGGGCAGGGTCTTACAAGGACGGCACATATCACAGAGATACGTGGCTCCTAAGGTTGGGTCAGCTTGCAAGAAACTCTCGCTTCTTTCCTCTCTTCCAGGTGACGACGTCGTCCGGGAGCAAATGCTTTTCCTGCCGCTCTGCAGCAGAGCGGGACAAGTGGATGGAGAATCTGCGCCGTGCTGTGCACCCGAACAAGGTACCGAACAAGCTAAGCAGCAGCTTCACACAGTACATAGTTAAACTGTGGAACTTCAGGACACAGTGGTGGCCATCAACTTGCTTGGCTTTAAAAGAGGATTGGGCAATCCTGTGGAATCTCCAGTGGCAGAGAGTTCCACAGGACTGGGCCAAGGACACCATAAACCTCTTGTTTCTTGTTGCTGTCAAATGAGTCTTGTCAACTAGGGGAGCGAACAATGACGCTCCTGTGGATGACCTTAGTGAATGAGTGACACACAAGTTCAAGCGGTGCCTCAGGTTCCCTGGACCTCAGTTGATGGCTGTGCTGTGCTTCCATAGTTGCAGGCAGTCTGCCCCTGAATGTTAGGTAAGGGTAAAGGTACCCCTGCCCGTACGGGCCAGTCTTGACAGACTCTAGGGTTGTGCGCCCATCTCACTCAAGAGGCCGGGGGCCAGCGCTGTCCGGAGACACTTCCGGGTCACGTGGCCAGCGTGACAAGCTGCATCTGGCGAGCCAGCGCAGCACACGGAAACGCCGTTTACCTTCCCGCCAGTAAGCGGTCCCTATTTATCTATTTGCACCCGGGAGTCCTTTCGAACTGCTAGGTTGGCAGGCGCTGGGACCGAGCAACGGGAGCGCACCCCGCCGCGGGGATTCGAACCGCCGACCTTTCGATCAGCAAGTCCTAGGCGCTGAGGCTTTTACCCACAGCGCCACCCGCGTCCCCTGAATGTTAGTTGCTGGGAATTGCAGGTGGGCAGAGTTGCTGTTGCAATCAGGACCTTAGGCTTCTCAAGAGGTGTCTGGCTGGCCACTCAGAGAACACGATCCTGGACTAGACAGGCCACCAGCCTGATCCAGCCTCAGGGCTCTTTTATGCTCTTATTCCCAGGTACGTGTCCATAGATGGCAGAACCAATACAGTTCCTCTTAAAATAACTTCCAAGAGTAGTGCAGGCTGCAGGCGTATAATAATAATAATAATAATAATAATAATAATAATAATAATAATAATAATAAAAATTTATATATACCCTGCCCTCCCCAGCTAAGACCGGGCTCAGGGTGGCTAACACTGAATATAAATACAGTAAAAACATTAAAACAAAAACAAAAAAACCAGTTGATTAAAATATAAGTTAGAATACAGTTTCAAATGCAGCTTAAAATGCAGCCTCGTTTTAGTGGTAGCCTATAGATCAAAGCCAATTATCCATGCTGGTCCTACATGGACCAGCAAAAAGAGCCAAGGGAAAATTTATATACAAATCCCATATGAGGTGTTCCATTAAAAAATAAATAAATGAGAGGGGGGGTTAGATTGAGTCCAGCCCAAAGGCCAGGCGGAACAGCTCCATCTTGCAGAAAGATGTTAAATCCCACAGGGCCCTGATCTCCTGCACTAGGGCGTTCCACCAGGCCGGGGCCAGAGCTGAAAAGGCCCTGGCCCTGGTTGAGGCCAGTCTGACCTTCTTCGGGCTTGGGACTTCCAAAGTGGTGTTATTTATGGACCTTAAGGTCCTCCGCAGGACATACCAGGAGAGGCGGTCCTGTAGGTTACTTCCTCTTGTTCTTTTTTAAAAAGGTGAGTTTTGGCAATTGTGTCGTTCGTGGATCATGCATAAATTTAACTTTCATAAAGTTTCTCCTGGGGGAGAGTTGTGGGATTCAATATGCAATGAGCCAGCCTTTACCATCCCCTTGTCCCTGAATGTTCTGTGCTCCAACTCCCACCAGACCCAACCAGCTTGACCATAGGCTGAGATAATTATTGCTGTCAAAGGCACCAAGGCTTGGGCAACTTTCTGCCCCACAAGAAGGTCCCTCCCTCTCACCTCCTCACCATTTTTGCTCATGCAAATCCTTAAGTATGACCTCCCACGCATTTATAGGCATTGCCTTTTCTTTCAAAACTCTGCCCCTTTTAAAGAGGGTGGGTTTTCCTTTTTGGCTGGGGCTGTGTTTATGCATTTGCAGTCCCTGGTACCTGATGTGAAAAGCCAGCAGTACTATCCCATTGCTCAAGCCCAGTGGAGAAATTGCGGCACAGCGGAGGGAACACCTGCAGAACAGTTTTCTTTAGTCTACAATTTGTTCTCTTTTCTCTTAGGGCGCCCCCCCCCATCCCCACACCTTTCTCTTTAATTTTGAGGCTCTCCTGGCTGCCAAATTGGAAGCGGTGAAATAGGTTTTTTAGAAAGTGAAGCGTGTGTAGTTTGGGGGGGGGGAGGACAGAGAGAGAGACAGGTTCTCAGCCCTCCTTTCTTCTTGCAAATTAGTGCCAGCGAGAGAAGAAATCATAGTGATATTTGGGAAACGAGCATAAGCGGGGGTTATTATGCAAATTCCCAAGAGCCAGTAATTTCCTTAAAAGTTAAAAATGTAATTAAGGATTGGTTTTCTGTTCTAGCACGTTGCAAATAATGAAGCCGTTCGTTCTTCCAATTCTCGCAGCGGGTAATTGCTTCTCCCCCACCCCACCCCCCCAACACACCCTCCACACGCTGAAAGTCCTTCTTCACACAGCACGTAGTTAAACTATGGAACCCATAGTTGCAGTGATGGCCACCAACCTGGATGGCTTTAAAAAAGAATTGGACAGGTTAATGGATGAGGAGAAGGCTATTGATGGCTGGCAGTCACCACGGCTTGGCTCTGCCTCTACAGTGGTTCTGCATACCAGATGCTAGAAACCACAGGAGGGGGAAAGTGTGGCTCTTGTGCTCAGGTCCTGGTTTTGCACTGGGGGCCACTGTGAGAACAGGGTGCTGGACTAGATGGGGCCCCTTTGGCCTGATCCATCAGGCTCTCATAATAATAATCATAATAATCATAATTTATTATTTATACCCCACCCATCAGGCTGGGCTTCCCCAGCCACTCTGGGCGGCTTCCAACAAAATATTAAAATACAGTAATGCATCAAACATTAAAAGCTTCCCTGAACAGGGCTGCTTTCAGATGTCTGGTAGTTGTTGTTCTCTTTGACATCTAATAGGAAGGCGTTCCACAGGGCGGGTGCCGCCACCGAGAAGGCCCTCTGCCTGGTTCCCTGTACCTTTGCTTCTCGCAGTGAGGGAACCGCCAGAAGGCCCTCGGTGCTGGACCTCAGTGTCCGAGCAGAACGATGGGGGTGGAGACACTCCTTCAGCTATACTGGACCGAGGCCATTTAGGGCTTTAAAGGTCAGCACCAACACTTTGAATTGTGCTCGGAAACGTCCTGGGAGCCTTATGCTCTTACCGCACATCCTTGCTCTCTTCTTGACTGTGTCCCCCCCCCCCATTGCATCTCTTCTCTAGGACAACAGCCGGCGGGTGGAGAATATGCTCAAGGTGTGGATTATCGAAGCCAAAGACTTGCCGGCCAAGAAGAAGTACCTGTGCGAACTCTGCCTGGATGAGGTCCTCTACGCACGGACCACATGCAAGTTGAAAACTGACAATGTCTTCTGGGGGGAGCACTTTGAGTTCAACAACCTTCCATCCCTGAGGGGCATCACAGTCCACCTGTACAAGGAGACCGACAAGAAGAAGAAGAAGGACAAGACCAACTTCATTGGGCTGGTCAGCATCCCAGCGGGCTCCGTCACGGGCCGGCAGTTTGTGGAGAAGTGGTACCCGGTGGTGACACCCAACCCCAGCAAGGGCAAGTCTGGGGGCCCCATGATCCGCATCAAGTCGCGCTACCAAAGCATGAGCATTCTCCCCATGGAAATGTACAAGGAGTTTGCTGAGTACATCACCAACAACTACATGGTCCTCTGCTCAGTTCTGGAGCCAGTTCTGAGTGTGAAGAACAAGGAGGAGATGGCCTCAGCCCTCGTCCACATCCTGCAGAGCACAGGGAAGGCCAAGGTAAGGCTCTCGCACCCTCGTGCTCGGAGACGGGTTAGAGGCTCTCGCGCGCATTCATCAACCCCACATGTGCTGCAGCTGGACACCTGAGGCTGTGATCCACCTTGAGTTTGGGGGTCTTGCCAACAGTTGTTTAGCCCCCGTCATCCACTTACACCAGTGGTTCCTAAAGTGGGCAGTGGGATTACCTAGGGGGCGTGTTAAGAGGCAAGGGGACAGTAGTTGGGGGGGGGCAGAGGAATAAACAACTATCACACTTTGAAAACTCTTATTACTGGACCAGGTTCATCAGTTTTGTGGAATTAGTTAAACTACATAGTTTGACTTGGATTTTGAATAAATGTGCAATTAACTGTTGACTGTTTTGAATTTTGTTATTACTATTTTCGTTTGTGGGTGGCACAAAGCACTATTCTGAATCATGCTTTTTGTAGGGTAGGGGGCACTGGGGGGTAAGTTTATGGAACCCAGGGGGTGGGGACTGAAAACGTTTGGGAACCACCAGCTCTCACTGTTCTGTGGTGTGGTGCCTTGTGAACCCTCCTTTCAGTGGGTACTAATTATATCATGGGTGGTTTAGACCATCTGCAGCCCCTGAGATGTTCTTGGACTACAACTCCCATCAGCCCAGCCAGCATGGCCAGTGGTCAGAAGGAGCTGCTGAGGAGTTATTCCTGAAGCAATTATGGACGTACCTCCAGAAAGCCATGCTTATGGGACCTGTATGTTTCCACAATGACAGAGTGGTACAAAAAGGCATCATTCTGGGTTACGTGATGCAATGCAGAGGTGGTTGTAACTGCTACCCATTTTAAATTGCAGTACTGGATTAGGAATTGTTTTATGCTGCTGCTTTTAATCTAAGCTTCTTTCTTTTAGACACTGGCTTTAAAAGGAGATTCGGTTGTAAGCTGTCTTGGGAAAACTCCCATTTGCAAGGAGTCATGTACAGTCATGCCTCAGGTTACAGACGCTTCAGGTTGCGTTTTTTCGGGTTGCAGACCGCCAAAACCTGGAACTACTGGAATGGGTTACTTCTGAGTTTTGGTGGTTGCTCATGCGCAGAAGCGCTAAATTGAGCTTCGCGCATGTGCAGTTGCACTGAATCGCAACCCACGTGTGCGCAGATGCGCCGCTGCAGGTTACGGATGCTGCGTGTTGTGAACATGCATTCCACATGGATCATGTTCGCAACCCAAGCATCCACTGTACATTTTTAAATGCATTTGGGATGGGTTTGGGTGGACTTCCACCAAGCCTCCCTTCTCCTTCAGACAAATCCGTTTCCACTCGGAGTTGAGTGGCAGGGCACCTGCTGTGGCATGCAGAAGGCCCCGGGTTCAAATTTTGAAACCTCCAGATTTGAAACCTCCAGTACAGATCTTCTCCATGGATGGGGATGATTTCTTTCTCTGTCCAAGACCCTGGACAGACTCTGCTGGGTCAGAGAGATGACCCATAACTCAGTAGAAGAGTGCAAGGTCCTTTGGCATGCAGGAAGCCACGGGTCCAAGGTATGGCGACTGTGGGGAAATGAGCAGGCCAGGGGGGCTGCTTGAGACCCTGGGGAACTTCTGCTAGTCAAGACAAGGTAGCACTGACTGAGCATGTTGGCTGACAGGTATGGAGATAAAGGAAGAACACCTGCTGGTCAAAGATGATACATAGCCCAACATTGCTCAGCTGGTAGGACATGAGTCACTTAGTCTCAGGGATGTACTGTCAAACCCCACGTTGGGCAGAAGATTCCTGCATTGCAGAGGGTTGGACTAGATGACCCTTGGGATCCCTTCCAGCTCTACAATTCTATGATTCCACAGCAATGCTGACCTAGGCATAAATAGCCTCAGTAAAAGGCACCTTCCTTTGCCTGTATATACGTTAACCTCACAACTGGTTGCTTCAGCCGTCCTTGCAAATGCATCCACTGAAATAAGGCACACACTGGCGGGGACCATAGGACTGTCTGTTTTCTACCCAGAAATTTATGGCCTAAAAGGATCCAAGTTTTAAGAAGGCTCCCTTCTGGTCGCTTGGGGGCAAAATTTGTTCGCCCCAGGCCACCACACAAGTGGCTGCTTACAAACCATTTCCCCCTCCCCTCCCCTCCCTTTCCACTTGTGTCTGTCTCTTCTCACTTTGTGAGCTTGCAGGCAAGGACTGTTGTTCTTCATTGTTCTTTGGGTTCTCTTGCCCCGTTTCCTCTGGGGCACTAACCTTTCCGCTTAGGGCTTTTGAGGGTGAGTGTTGCACTAAGGGTATCTCTCCCGCCTGTATTCCTGGTGATGAAGTATCTTTTAAAATGCACCTATATTTTTTATGTCCGTTCTTAACCTGAAACCGTTCTTAGCCTGAGGTACCACTTTAGCTAATGGGGCCTCCTGCAGCTGCCACCGCGCCTCCTCATCCTGAGGGAAAGTTCTTAACCCGAGGTACTATTTCTGGGTTAGCGGAGTCTGTAACCTGAAGCATCTGTAACCCGAGGTACCACTGTACAGTAAAAACATTTTTTTAAACCCCCCCCCAAAAAAGTTGATTGAAATATAAGTTAGAATACAGCTTAAAATGCAGCCTCGTTTTAGTGGTAGCCTATAGATCAAAGCCATAAGGGGAGAAAATGTCAAATATTCACCAGGGCCAGCTATCCATTCTGGTCCTGCAAGGGCCAGCAAAAAGAGCTGAGGGAAAAATTATATACAAAAACCTATATGAGGGGTTCCATCAAAAAATAAATAAATGAGAGGAGGGCTTAGACTGAGTCCAGCCCAAAGGCCAGGCGGAACAGCTCCGTCTTGCAGGCCCTGTGGAAAGATGTCAAGTCCCACAGGGCCCTGGTCTCTTGGGACAGAGCGTTCCACCAGATTGGGGCCACAGCCGAAAAAGCCCTGGCTCTGGTTGAGGCCAGCCTAACCTCCCTGTGGCCCGGGACCACTAGGGTGTTGCTATTTATGGACCTTGAGGCTCTCCGTGGGGCATACCGGGAGAGGCAGTCCTGAAGGAATGAGGGTCCTAGGCCGTGAAGGGCTTTAAAGGTCAAAAGCAGCACCTTAAATCTGAGCCTGTACTCCACTGGGAGCCAGTGCAGCTGGAAAAGCACTGGGTGAATATGCTCCCATGGCAGAGACCCCGTGAGGAGCCTCGCTGCAGCATTCTGCACCCGCTGGAGTTTCTGGGACAGCTTCAAGGGCAGCCCCGCGTAGAGCGAATTACAGTAGTCAAGCCTGGAGGTGACCGTCGCATCAGTGGCGTAGCGTGGGTTGTCAGCACCCGGGGCAAGGCAAGTAATTTGCGCCCCCTAACCCGTAGATTTGCGCCCCCTAACCCGTGGATTTGCGCCCCCTAACCTGTGGATTTGCCCTAACCCCAGATGTTGCGCCCGGTGCGGCCGGCCCCCCCTGCACCCCCCACGCTATGCCACTGCGTCGCATGGATCACTGTGGCCAGGTCGGGGCGGGAAAGGTAAGGGACCAACTGCTTAATACGGAGATGGAAAAAGGCCGCCCTTCCTCCAAGGAGCTCAAGGTGGCTTAAATAGTTCTCCCCACTTAATCCCCACTGCAACCCTGTGGGGTTGGTTAAGGTGAAAGGCAGCGACTGTCCCAAGGTCACCCAGTGGGGATTTGAACCTAGGTCTCTCTGAGGTCCTTGTTTGATGCTAAATGCTACACCACAGTGGCTCTCTCACACAGCCTCCACATCGCAAGGAAGCCCACCGATCCTCCACCCCAGAGTGTTGACCACGTAGCAGCCTGTCCATGGATTTGCTGAGCCACATGCCCATGGCTGCTGCCACGTGGTCTTACAGGGGAAGACAGGAGTGCCGGGCGTGCTCTGGTCCAGGGGGTCACGAAGAGTTGGACACGACTAAATGACTAAACAACAACAACCACCATCACTGCTGCCACTTCCTTCCCTATCCACCCAAAGAGACAAACTATCTGTTTTTTGTTTTTTACAACAGCAGTTAGTCCAGCTAGTTATGACTTTAATCAGTTTGCACACACAAATGAGCTCTGCCTTCCTCCGGGCAATAATTAGGTTGTTTGAAGGGGGTGCAGGCCAGTGAGTGGCAGCTCCAGAGATAAGTGTGAGTGCCTCTCCTCCTCTACCCACCCTGATCTATGCTGTGCTGCACACAAGGAAGAAGATCTGAGCATCCCTTGCAGAGCCGTTTCAACTCTTAATTGGAGTAATAATAAAATAATAATAAATTTTTATTTATACCCCGCCCTTCCTGGCTCAAAAACCGGGCTCAGAGCAGCTAACAACAAACTTAAAACACTTAATTATAAAAGCAGCATAAAATACAGTATAAAAAACATGAATAACAGTAAAATTCAAAAATCAAAGATCAATTAGATAATCCCCAGGGCTAGCTGGCTGAATTGGTCCTACTTGGGCCAGCGAGGAGGCCAGGGTAGAATTAGCTGTGGGGTCTCAGAGCGGATGATCTTCATAAAAGGGGAGGGAAGGGAAGGGAAATGAAAGATCAGGCTGAATTCAAATTAAAAGCCAGGCGGAATAGCTCTGTCTTACAGGCCCGATGGAAGGAGGTTAAATCCTGAAGGGCCCTAGTCTCAAGGGACAGAGCATTTCACCAGGTCGGAGCCATCACTGAAAAGGCCCAGGCCCTGGTGGAGGATAGTCTGACTTCCTTAGTGGAGCATCTTGGAGCAAACATGCCGTTTGCTCTGATGGACTCTTCACAGGCTGATGTGGATCTTCGCTTTCCCTTCTCCCATTTGCCACAACGCCTGCTTAAGGCGTAAGGCTAAAAGGATTGTTGTACTGGATCAGAACGAGGTCCCGTGGGCTACTCCAATAGCAGGATAAAGGTAAAGGGACCCCTGCCTGTATGGGCCAGTCGTGTCCGACTCTGGGGTTGCGTGCTCATCTCACTTAAGAGGCCGGGAGCCAGCGCTGTCCGAGGACACTTCCGGGTCACGTGGCCAGCGTGACGAAGCTGCTCTGGCGAGCCAGCACCAGCGCAGCGCACGGAA